CCACTAGCGGGCCAGCTGTTGGGCACAGGCCCCGCCCTGCCGGCCCAGGCACAGGCCCCGCCCGTCCCCAAGGCCACACGTGTCCCGTTGCGCTGGCATGACGGACCGGGACGTGGGGTCAGGGACGGGAAGTGGGGGTCACGCCATGCGGCCCCCACCGGCAGGGGCGGCGGGGCTCACACCGAGCAGGGACGCCAGGAGCCGCCCCTGGGGAGGTCGTGCCGGGGGCCTGGGCAGCCGGGCTTCCCTCGCTAAGTGCTCGGCGCGGCACCGGCCACAGCTGCTAACTGGACGGGCCGCCAGCCAGGACCCCCGAGGCCCGAACTGTGGTCTCGGACGCGCAGGAGCGCCAGGACTGCTGGTCCTGGCGGCCGGGCTCCGGCCGGGCTCCCGGTCCTCCAGAGGTCTGGGGCCTCGCCCGCCAGGTGAAGGGCCGGCGCAGGAAACAGCGCCAAGGTCAGCCTGGCAGGGTCCGCGTGAGACGCAGGTGTTCCCGGCCTCGGCAGGCCGCCACAGGGGCTCGCGGCCTGGGGTCACGGCGGTCAGCGGCGGGCTCACGGCCTGGGGTCAAGGCGGCCAGCGGAGACATGGCTCCCACCGGCCTTTCCACTCACGATGATTTCGGCTCACAGCGGCGCCCGGGGCAGCCCCACGTGCCGGGCACATCCGTGGCACTGGCCTCTGGGCGGCGCTGGCCTGAGACCAGCATGCAACAGGGTCCACCCAGTGCCCGTGAGCGCCAGAGCAGGGGGCTGGGGGCCGTGCCCCGGTTCTAGCTTCTACAGAACATGCCGCTTGTGAATCAAATGCCAGCATGAGGGGCGAGGCCCCCCGCTCGAGGCCCGGGCCCCTGCAGCAGCCTCCGGGTCGGGAGCGGGGAGCGTCGGGGTGGTGTCCACCCAGCTTCTCTCTCTCCTCGCCTGTGAAGCCACCGCTGCCCCTGCTGGCAGCCCCTGGACGAGGGGCCTTGGCGGGGCCCACAGTGTGGTGGGAGGATGCCCGGGGGGAGCAGCGGCTGGCCGGGGTCCACAGGTCGGGCCATCACCTCTGTGGCGTGGCCCGGGGACGCGGGGTCCAGGCTGCTGCTCTGCAGCTGGGCCGGACGGGCCCGGCCTCTCCTTCCCCGGCGGCGAG